GACGAGAGGCCCTTGAACAACTCCTGTCAAAATGGCAATGCGGAGTGTGTGCAGTAATCAGTAGGAAGACGATGTGGGCCCCAGACCTCTCTGTGTTGGGTCGCTGGACTGGAAACGTCTGCGTCTGTCCCGGCCTGAGGCAGCGTTCAACCAACACGAGCGCCCAGTAAGACTTGCTAGGCAGGCAGTGTCTGTCTTTCTGAATGAATCACCCAATGGAGCTGTTTTGGCCATCAGTAATGGCACTAGCATGAGCCTACGGGGGTTAAATACTACGCTGACTTGTCACTGGGCGTACGTGCCTTCACATCCAGAAGGAGAGCCCTGTCTATTGCCAAGATATCTCACATAACTGTTCATCAAGGCAAGTTTGACACCGTAAAGCCAAACCAAGCCATGAAATGTCCATAGTCATGTGACCGACGCATGTATGTTACCAATAACCCAAACTCCAATTTCAGTCACAACCCTTCATGTGTTGTCTTGCTGATCACCTATGCACAGATGTTATTCCATTATACAGACAAATACGAAGTTATCCACCCACAAGAATATTACAGTCTGTGGGTAAATATGTACCCCAGCCTTTTAAAAATGTGCTTTAAATTTAATAAGGCCCTCGGGCAGTGTGGGCATCAGGGAGTGCCTGAAGCAGACACAGACGCTGAACTCCTACAGTCAGAAATATTCCCTTTTTATTGCAAAGAAAGGGAGACTCCTACTTACAGACACTACAATCAATTTTCATTTCAGGATTTACAGGCTGTCTGTTTATGTTTCACCCAGAACCCTGAACAATATTAAACTGCTAGATGATGGATGAATTGATTGATTTTATGCGTAACATAAACGAGCATATTTACTAACTTTCAAAGAAATTTATCTACTTGATCTCACTTATTCCTTTTGAAAGGAATGCTGAAGAGAGTATCAGGATCCATCGGATCTGCATATACAGAATTTTGCCAGAAAATGAACTGGCCAGATTTTTTTTGTTGTGCAAAACTCTGGTTTTAGTGCTGAAGGGTAAAAAAAACACCAAGGTCATTATTTAATACAGAATGTGCCAATATGAAGCCTCATGTTCTTGGGACTCAGCTGTGCTCTGCTGAAAAAAAAAACATTTGAGCACCTGGCCTCTGTGCTTGAGAAGAGAGACTGAAGCAAAGTGAGGGATAATCAGCCAGGAGGAGGAAAAACAAAAAGAGGGGAAAGGATGGAGATGAAGAGAAAGACAGAGAAAACATAACAAAGCAACTTGGAGGAAGAGAACATGAGGAAGAGGTTAGGAGCCGCTCTTTGCTGGACGACCACGATTCACCAAAAACATGCACCTCAAGCGTGCAAGTATGCAGACAGACGGCATGTGGATAGTGAAAGAAGCCTTCCACTATTTACCAAACATGGGAGGGGGGCATATATAGGGTCAGGAGGAAGAAAGCCAAAGTAAAAAAGAAGCACAGAGCGTCAAAATTAAAGCCCAAAGAACAAGAAGCATGTAATTTGCTGTGCGAAGGTCATGCTTGTGCCAGGAAGGCAGGGGATTAGTCTGACCCCGACTCGCCATTCTGGCAGCGCCAGTGAGATTCCTAACGAACGCAGCCCTCAGCTCACCCTTTTTAAATTACTCAACCAGCCCTGACAGACCTCCGCGAAGATCCTGAAACACCCAAACGGCCGAGCGGAGAAGAGGGGCACTGAGGATGGGAACAATGGCAGGGCACTCGGCAGCTGAAAGGGGGCGCCGAGCACAGCCGTCGTGGACGTCCGCCGCGGTCACGGTCGCTTTGCGTGTCGAGTGGGGGGAAGAGATGGAGGTCAAAGCCCAAGGACGTCGCCCAGAGACGCACTTAAGGCGGCACTGAATGCATCACGCGCCGGAGCATAACACACTGGCTGTTTGTACACAGCCACAAGACGTGCGGCAGAACCCAGTGGGCTGATCTATGATTTCATATTTCCAGAGTTAAAGGTCCAAAACTGAAGCCCAAAACGAGAAGACAAAGGACTCAACTCCGGATGAGCTGACAGAAACAGGACTCGTTCATATACAGACAGGAAATGAACATTTTGTACCACTTACATCAATATAAGTGCAAGTTCTGAAAGAGTTTTAATGCAACACAAATGAATGCATATACTGTAATAAGCTTATACACTGTTTGCCTTTAAATGTATGGCTATGATATAAGAGAAATTTTGCTTCCATAGAGCATAACATTTGGCCCTGTCTGTTTTATTAAAGTATTATGATAGTGGCCCCATTGTTATTTGACAATGCGTAGGTGTGTTAGTGTTAAAATTAACTTGATGTTTCATTTATACCTATTTTCTGATATGTTAGAATATGGGAACCCAATTATCTAGTCATGACTCCTATTACATCAATTAATTTAAATATTCTTTTGTTCTTATTTCAATTCATTACCATCCGATTCTGTATTTTCACTTTCATTCCCATACTAAAAGCCTACAGGTCATGGGGCAGTGATGTTACTGCACCCTCTAGCGGCGGAAAGTGGTCATGAGCTAGCAGACCTTCGTCGGAGCTGCAGTGTGTGGCGTCCCGCTCAGCTGCTCGAAGCGTTGCCTGTTGTATTGTGGTGACATTAAAGCACGTTTTGTCTATTCTGCACTTATCCATAGGTGGAAAGGTCATTATTTACTGAACAAATGACTGGAGGCTTATTAACCGGATAATTGTGCTACTAGCAAGAATGACTCGTCATAACTCAACCGTCGGAGGGTCATGAATCACTGGGGAAAATGAGTCCGAATATTAACAAGTCAAGGTCCGTTATAATCTTCACTGGGATTCTTCATAGAAAAACTACATCATTATACAGCTATACCTATGTATATACAGATATACAATATGGTTTATACACTGTACGGACAAAAGACACACCTCTTAATCATTGTATTCAGATGTTTCATTCAGACCCACTGTCATAGGTGCATAAAATGAAGCATATAGCAATGCAGTCAGATTTACAAACATTTGTGAAAGAATGGGTCATTCTGAAGAGCTCGTGAATTCAAATGTAGTCATAGGATGCCACCTTTGCAATAAGTATGTTTGTGAAATTTCTTCCCTGCTAGTTATTCCACAGTCAACTGTAAGTGGTATTATTGCAAAGTGAAGGCATTTAGGAACCACAGAAGCTCAGCCATGAATTGGCAGATGACGTAAAGTAACAGAGCGGGGACGCTGATTGCTGAGGTGCATAGTGCGTTAAACTCACAAATGTTGATTCAAAACTCCCTCTGGCATTAACCCCAACATAAAAACTGTTCACTGGGAGCTTCCGGGAATGGGCTTCCATGGCCGAGCAGCTGCATGCAAGCCTCACATCACCAAGCGCAATGCGAAGCGTCGGATGCAGTGGTGTAAAGCACACCGCCACTGGACTCTGGAGCAGTGGAAAAGAGTTCTGTGGCGTGATGACTCACGCTTCTCTGTCTGGCAGTCTGATGGACGAGTCTGGGTTTGGCGGATGCCAGGAGAACGTTACCTGCCTGACTGCATTGTGCCGACTGTAAAGTTTGATGGAGGAGGGATAATGGTATGGGGTTGTTTATCATGGGTTGGACTTGGCCCTTTAGTTCCAGTGAAGGGAACTCTTAATGCTTAAGGATACCATTAGCATTTTGGACAATTCTATGCATCCAACTCTGTGGGAATTGTTTGACGAAGGCCCTTTTCTGTTCCAGCATGACTGTGGTCCTTAAAGACATGCTGGAGTGAGTTTGGTGTGAAAGAACTTGACTGAACATTGGTTTAATCCATTACGGTGCACATTAGGTTGCGCGGAAATTCATATTCAGATGGAGTCATAATCTAGAATCACATTAAAGCAGAGATTTAAAAAAATGGTGCAGTAGATTTTCATTGCATAAGTTAAATTATTTGTAAAAACCTATTGGGGTTATTAGTAAGAAGTTCAAAACTACTTAGCTAGCCTACTTAATAGGTTTTTAATAAAATGTATATTTAAAGACAAGTGAAAATTATTTCATTTTCACTTTTTATTTACATGTCTGGCTTCCTCCCACAGTACAAAGGCATCTGGAAGGACTGGAGGTCTCTGCATTGCCCATAGTGAGTGACTGTGCATTTGAGCTCTTTAATAGATTGACATTCAGTCCAAGAGCATTTCTGCGTTTCTTTGAATCTAGTCAATTGCACGACTTCAGGTAATTGGATAAATACCCAGCTCACAATATGATTTTTCATCTTTCCCCCCGAAATGCAGGGTGTGTCAGTCAATGACGCATGTCTTCCCAACTTCATGCTCCTAACTGACTTTATATGTCAGATGATATTCACCCCCCATGGAGGTAAGGTAAAGGTATTTCCATTAAATGAATGCCATGGAAGCATTTCATTGAGGCTCCTTTTGTACCTCGCCAGGTATTCAAGCCACATAATTACAAATCCACCTTACTGAGTTAAACAGCCAAAACAGAGACTCCTTACAATCAGAAACGTAGTAATTGGGGGGTGGCGTGTAACCCCCAGTATTTAAAATGGATTCATCCATCCCTCCGCCTCCCGTGAGGGCAGCAATGACAGCATGCCGATTTGCAGGGCATGTCAGACAAAACCTCTCTTTTCCAATACCACTGACTCGATCTGTCCTGGGCCTGCCAAGGGCCCTCCGCCCAGTGGGACGTGATCGCAAAAGTTTGCTGAAGTACCGAGAAGGCGGCATCCTTCCAATATACTTTGACCACCTCAGCTGCCTCCAGTATCTAACGACTATATTTCGAAGTCTCTGTGGAACTCTGAACTGCTCACCCTGTCAGGGAGAATGAGCCTGGCTACGGAGAAGTCTCATTTCGGAGACGTGTTATATCAAAAGATAAAATAGATGGTTATGAGTAGCGCAATATGCAGCATCTGGGAGCAGACAGGGTCCTTCGTGGTAGTACTGCCTCCGGGCCGCTGGCTGGCAGCAGGGAAAAGTCAACGTCAGACTGCGACGTACTAGGCAGACGGCGCGTCACTGGTCGGCGACGGCTTTGTTCCGCACACGGCGGCAGTCACCCATCATATCTTCTCTGAAGAGCTGTTTCAGCCTGATTGTTAAACAAGTGGATAACGGTTACTGTGTTCAGTGTTTTGGACGGTGGGCAGCTATGGCTAAATCGAGGAACCTAAAAGCCTTTCTGGAATCTTCTTTGAATGAAATTTTCAGAGCGACAGTGAGTGACATTTTGGAGTCGGTTGAAGAGACCTTGTCTGAATATCAGGGCAAAATAGAGCGAATAGAGACTGAGAACGAAGATCTGAGGCGAAGGCTTCAGAAACAGGATATCGATTACGCTCTGGCGAAACCGGGTGAGTTTTGGGGGGTGAACCGGGACGAACCAATACAGGTAAAAATAATCAAAACAATTTTGTGGTTATTGACATTAATTACTGCACTTGATCCTAGCGAAGGGGAGGGGACGGGCAGACGTCTGTTCACCTACTTACATACTTAGCTGCTTAACAAGCTCCACGCTGAATTAGCAAGAAATCGAATTACTAATCAGCTGATTTTCATCCCGTAGCTATCAGTTGCTTAAAATTAGCCGATTTTGTGATTTGACAAATGTAACTTAATTTGATAGATTTATGTATATATAATTACAGGTGTAATCCGGTTGTTTGATGCTATGGAGAAAACTAATTTCTTTATAAAAATGCTTCATTCAGGTACCTCAGTGAGGTAAAAATTGACCGCTGATTGGTACCTCAGGATGTGAAGACTGCCATAAGGCAAGTTTGAACTTTTATTTGCCAGCATTTGCAATGCTTACCACTGCATTCCTCTGTGTTACAGAACCAAAAGTTAAGGATAGTGTTCATCTTTCCAACTCCAAGCTCCCCAAACTTTCTGCCCCGAAGACATCTCTAGAATCCACAGCTAGTCATGGCAAACGGTGTCCTGCTGATCGGCGTGAATACTTACAGGGAAAGCCCATTGGCTCAGTTCTTAGCTTAGAAGCAGGAGTTAAGGAAATATCCAGTGTTGCCGTTTCAACAGTAACCCTTGGTTATGTAAAGAGTGACCCAGATGTGGACGATGGCTGTGCTATGGACCTTACCAAAACATCATCTCCACTCAATTTGGTGTCCAAGCGAATCAAAATGGAGAGCCACAACCTTGACTACCTGAAACCAGAATATTCCTCTGACCCGCAGTCCCCACGCTGGCCAGAGACTGGCTCGAAGGAAAGTGACTCTGATGTGAGGGTTACCATTGTGTCTGACAGCCACATGAGCGTTGAGTCAAGTGAGGAAGAGGGAGGTCATAATAGGGAGTCCGAACCAGAGGAAGAGGTGTATGTAAAACCCAATGAGTTGTACTGTGGTGAGAGGAGAAGAGATCCAGAGTTTTCTGCCAACGGTCATATTTTTCAGGAGTACACAGGCATGGGGGTGGCTGCTGGGGGGTCAGAGGAAGAGGGGGTGCAAAGCAGGCAGGTAGACATGTGTGACTCACTTCAGACGTCTGCATCTACCCTGAGCCTGGGTGCCTCTGAGCTGAGCGAAAACGTACAGGGCTTCTATCACTGCACCCTCTGCAAGAAGACCTTCAGCAAGATCGGCTCACTGAACGCACATTTGCGGAGCCACGTCGATGAGAAGGTTCATTGCTGCAACTACTGCGGCAAGCGTTTCGGCCGGGCCGACCTACTCAGGTCCCACAAACGCACCCACACGGGTGAGAGGCCTTTCAGCTGCAACCTGTGCACCAAGAGCTACGGACACCCCGGGCAGCTTCGGATACACAAGCGAGTTCACACTGAGGAAAGGCCATATTGTTGCCCCCACTGTGGGAAAAGGTTTAGTGAACACAACCAGCTCA